TCCCAGTACAACACAAGCCTTGCGGTGACTTATTTCAATTAAATCACACCAGCGTTATGTGCTCTTTTAAAATTACTTCAGTTACTAAAACTAGAAATATTCATTTGCCACATACAGTAAAACAGTTTCTATGCCAGGTGTGAGCTGTTGAGGTGTGGCATACAAATATGTGTGAGTATTATACCAAGATGTCATCATATGGTATATCCAGGCCATGACTTGGTTAAGTGTCTGATGAGGAGTGAACTAAATATCTGTCATAAAGCAGATGAAAGCTGCATAAACAGTATCTACAGATTTTACTTCAATATGCTTGAGAAGGAAAGCACGGTAGCCGTGACTACCTTCAGAAACAATGTGTGTGTCTTCCAATACAAAAACACGAGGGCCACCCCAAAATACAAAATAGATTTTGACTAAGCAAGAGAGGGTCTTTATAACAGTCTTCCTAAAAGATCAACTGTTCCAATTCTATCTGCTGCGCTGAAGGTGTGATGTGGTCTTTTGGGGTCCTGTCTGGGACATGAACATAGCCTTCCCCATAGTTTAAGTAGTGATGCACATATTTGTTTTGGATTACCTATTATTACTTCAACCTCATTCGTGTAATGAAGACAAGCTCATTACCCCTGTAAAGTATCCCCCAGCCAGGTTTCCAGACCCCTGTCCCTTTTTTGTTCTAAATAATTGCAAAGAAGTCATAATTCCCTCAGTAATGGTACATTTTGAGCTTTGTTGATCTCTCTCATTACTTAAAATGTAAGCTGCATCTTGACCCCCCCAGCTGTTTCTGAGCTGACAATCAAATTAAGCAAATTATTAGCTCATTTAAGACCTTAATTAAGCCCAGCTGGAACGTGAATAACAAGACACAGACCTCCTTAGGCACCACAACAGGGGCACAGAGTCCTGTCATTTCCTCCTTTTCAATATTTAGTTTTTTTTGGTGCACAAAACAGGAAAACATTCAGCTCACATAACTGTTTTTATTGCTTTAACCAATGTTGAAACTGGCATTTGACTTTCTTGGTCTGATCAGAGGTTGGGAAGCTTTTAAATTTAAAGAATCACTGTTGATTAATTAGCTATTTATTTTGTGAGTGTGAGTGGACTGTTTTTGAAATCAAGGTTGCCTACAGTTACTTTAGTCACAGCGGGTCTTTTTGGCCTCTGAAACGAACATGCATTTTGCAAGTATTTCATTAGCAATTTAAGTGCCTGTGTTATTAGTTTTCCCCTATGTGAGTCAATATGTGCTCATGTTGTGGAGACTAAGGCTACTTAAAATAAGCACATTTTAAGAGCACAGAAAGCCTTCAAACATTCTGACACTGGATGGATAGTAGACTTTTTATTGTTAATTCTGATGTGCAGAAAGCACCAATACACAGCAACAACTCTTTCCAGTACCTACTGTATCTATTAAGAAGACTACAACTCATAACACAGGCTGCAACTGAAAGGAGGCTATCTGACCCATCTAGCCAATGTGGTAGTTAGTACCTAACTGAAATGAAGATCTCATCCATCTGTTACTCAGAAGAAAACGAGGTGTTTGCTCCAACAACATGGCTGGGTCATACTGTATAATCTAGGTCAGCACGACCCTTTATTTAAAAGATTGCCACCTATTCTCAGATTTTTTAAATGCACAAGCAATTTCCACTTTCTGTTCTCTGAACATGTTGGGCAATCAAACCAGACTTCGAGGATACCAACCCCTTGACTGCACAGAAGGGAGAATGAGGAAATGCAGACAGGCTCCCGTGACCCCCCCATGCCTTAACGCATCACAAGCACCGCAGCCCTGTAGTGGAGCCTGGGTAAGGACTGGTAGAGAGGCATGTCCCTCCCTGATAGCACCTGTATGCCTGCAAGTGTCAGGGTAACTGGAGAACTGTATTGAGCTCATGGGGGTACCAGGTTACAGTGAGCTAGGGACACGACCCAGGCTCGAACCCGGGATCACGAAACCCAGTCTGCGCTCAGGAGCCTCTCAGGAGGCCCTCTAATGAATTACACCGTCCTTTGAGCTTTTTTTCTCAAGACCCCTCTCTGGAGCCCAGCTCAAAGCAGTGGCATTAAGAGCCAAATTGTTTATCTGCACCTCTGTTCTGCCAGCAGCTTGCTTGGCACAGTTCTGTGGTCCTGAGCACCGAGAACCAACTACATCAAACATCTATCAATAGGGACAGTAATCAAATCAACGTAACTGACTAGGAACAGATGCTGCCACTATTTAATAATACTCATTTACATTCATCTGCGGGAATCAATTACCGGCCCAAAGTTGACGTCATTCCAAAAAAAACAAGTGATCTAAGAAGAGAGAATGGCATTAATTGCTGTTTTCTGACAACCAGCCTGCAGGAGGTATGTGACTGCACAACCCATGTCCCAAAAATGGCCGTAACAAAAGTTCTGGCAGACCTGTTTCACATTTTCAGCCCTGGTGTCAGATGGTTTGTAAATGTGGAAATGTACGTCTCTCAGGGGCCCTGTCAAACAGTCTGTAGCACGAGCCAGATTGTATCCCTGATCCCATCCATCCAACTTCTAATCCAGCTTCTTCCAGTCCAGGGGTGCGGAGGAGAACAGGCAGCCGAAGCTTATCCCAGCAAGCAACGGGTGCAAGGCAGGATGTACCCCGGACTGGATGCCAACCCATTACAGGGCAAACACAGACACACACAGGTCCGTTAGCCTACCAGTACATTTTTGGACTGTGGCAGGAGAGCAGAGAACCCGGAGGAGGGCACCAGTGCTGTGAGGCACTAACACTAACCACCACTCCACCATGCCACACATCTCCGATTCCCGTTTTGCAGCATGTTGACCCAAGGAACCAGAGAGCTGGGCGCTGGAGTCCGGGACGCAATCAAATATATTCTAAACCAGGCTCTCAAACTCAGTTCCTGCAGGGACATGCAAGTTATTAAATAATGATTTCTTCGACAAACCTAGAGATAGGGTCTTTCGTTTTTTGCAGCTGAAGACCCAAAACATTCACTTCATTTACGGTACTGTTAGCTACAGTATAAAACTACTCAGAGCCTGGTTTGAAGTATTACAGTTATGTGGTAAATTTAACGAACTATATTACTAAAAGCTCAGGCCGTCCAGTAACCGAGTAGGACAGCCCTGGTCTAAACTGATTGTCAGGGCTCCTAAAGAGGAGTATGTTCATATCTACATATCATCTGAAAGTGATTTGCACAAATTAAAAAAAAAATACATAAGGATACACAATCTATCAAGGTCATTAAACTCTTTGGAATTACATTTAAAGCTTCTTGTACTGTACCTGTGTCTATAGCAGCAGTCTCACACTCAGTCCAGGGGGAACACTGGCTGCTGTTTTTGATTCCAGCTGAGCTCTACATTACTAGCACCAATACACTTAATACATCTGCTTGCTTCTTGGGACTTTTTGTTAACTTGTTTCTGCACTCAGCCCTGCTTTGCAAAAACTGAGCACTCTCACTTTCATTACCTAACCTCTTATTTCTGACTGAGCAACTCTTAATAGGTGATCAGACTTTCACAAAGGGCCTTTTTTCCTTCTACAGTGTGTAGTCCAAATGTTACCAATTGGGTGCAGAAGATGTGCCTTCGATTTTCAGTCCAAAATTCCTTGACTTCCACTTGTTGTCGTTGCTTGTTCGAATTTCACTGTTGATCCTGGCAGAGATCCATGCGTTGCCTTTCTCAGCATGTTTCAGAATCTGAATATTTATCCCTCAGTCTCTTTAACGTCCACACTGTAAGGATCGGAGACGTCCTTCTTCCACACACATCACCTTTGCAGGTAGCACATTTGCAACAGGCAACCACTCTTGTGTGGAGAGGGAAACTGCTTTGATAGATGACAGGATACTAGGAGCTCAAATGACTTAAGATTGTGAAACAAGGTGGCATCTGGAGCTTTGCGCATCATTAAAGCTCGCTGTAGAAGAATTAGCTGGTGATGAAGCGTTTTGTAATTTTATGACGAACAACCCAAAGTGGGAGAATTTCTAAACTAAAATACTGTCACATAAGTCCTTGACTTGTAACATTCTGAATTTTCAACTTCGCCCTCTCTTCTCCTGATATCTGCAGAGGTGGAAAAAAATTATGATTGTATGGTTGTACTATGGCCTGGATCAATTCACCTAAAAGCTAATTGCCAATAACAGAACCTATGGATGATAGCTTTCCATTCTCTTGTGTCTTATGACACTAACCCAGCAGATTCCCAAAGAAAAGCAATGGTTGTGTAATGTACAATTTGCAGCTGGGCAAATCATTTTTTTTTTTTGATTCAGGCAAATTTATCATCATCCTTCCCAAATTTAAGATGTGTCCATAATACACTGTTGTGAAAATCCTTGAAAATCCTTTTAAAGTTTAAATAAGATTAAAAAAAAGGCAAGCAAACAACCTCATTGTACACAGGCCCAACGTGATCATAAAAGCAATACTAAAATTGTAACAACAACAGCCCTTGCTATAAGTACAATCTAAATTTGTATTTCTCAGCCAGTACACACACAGATACACAAATCATGCATTGGTTATCACTGTATCTGAACCTTACACTGCTGTTGCTTACTGAACTGCTGGGGGAGTCTGGAGTTCATCTTTCTGTGATCAAAGACATCTGTATTTTCACTGTTTACCTTTTTTGAGGTGGTTGTTATTAGCCTTGGGAATAGCTTACCCTTTCCGTACAGAACCAAAGTTAGTAATTGTAAGTTCCTGAAATGTGCCTGGAGCTGGCACTGCCTTTGTGTGCTGGGCATAGGTAAGCTGGGGCACAACGCCAACTCCCTCTTGCTAATGCAAAGCTATGCTGAACCCATACAGGCCAATATGGAATTTTTAAAGAACCGTCTATAGAGAAATTTACTGCATTGTAATGGGCAGTAACGGTTTGGTACAGGATATGGGCGGCACGGTGGTGCAGTGGTGAACATTGCTGATTTGCAGAGCTGGGGCCCTGCGTTCAATTCCTGGGGTGCTCTCTACGTGAAGTTTCTATGTTCTCCCCACGTTTGTGTGGGTTTGCTCCCACAATCCAAAGACATGCTGATAAGTTAACTGGCCTCGGGGAAAACTAGCCCTGGTCTGTGTACCTGTGTTGGTGTGTGGCCTGCAGTTGAGTGGATGTTCCCAGTCTCGCGCCCATTGCTTGTTCCCCCATGACCCTGCAGTGGATGCAGTGGTTAAAAGATGGATGGATGGTATACAGGATGCTTATGTAACATGTAATGGACTATACCAGCAAAAAGGATTTTATAACCGAGACTGTGCAGGGATTCTTTGGTGTACTATTTAAAACAGAAAAGCTATTTATCTTCCTTAAAGGCTGGGTATGAACACATTCTGTGGCTAACTGCCGAGTAATGACTTTTGATCGTGGCACACAACCAGCCGAGGGGTAGAGAGTCTTTTTTCTAGGAGCTCACCCAGCGATACAGAGCTGAAAAAATGGGAACGGGCCCCCGACACGCAGCTCGCCAGCTGCTGTGGTTAATTAGCCGTGCTGAGATAGGCGCCCACGAGATTTCTTCTGAACCCCCGTGGCGCCTTGTTTTGCTTTTTTTCCCCCATCGTACTTAAGCACAACTCACGCGAGTCAAGAGCTCGGCAGAGAAAGTGATGAAAAAAGGATGACGGCAGGAGTAAGAGAGGAGAGCGGAAGAGAGGTCCACTTCTCTGTCGAAGTGCACTGAAAGAACAAAGCCCCTTCTGTGGCAGTGTCTCTTATGGAAACAACGTTGATTGAAAAGCACTTTTAGATGCATTCCGTCAGGCTACAAAAAAACTCTTAAGAGCTGGAACCTTAGTACCAGGCACAAAAATCACGGTTTCCCATTAAATGGATCTTGAACTCTGAAAAATCTTTTCGCTGCATGAGTCATAGCTCGAAGACCACAACTCTAAACCCAAGTCAGAAGCCCTGTATTTTATCCGGTGCCTTTAGTGTGAAACTAACTGGTAGTCTGCGGGTTTTCCACAGCGCGCCGGGGGAGACGGGAGGGGTAACCAGTCAGTAGAACTTGTCGTCGATGCGGAAGTGTGGTCGGCTAACGTCCTCCGGGTTGAGGAAGACCGAGATGGACTTGCCGGGATTTTCGGTCACCAGCTGCTGGAGGCGCCGGGCCAGCCGGTCGTCCTCAGGCTGAGCGGGGTGGGCCGGGGGGCACGGGCCGGAGGCCGGGGGGACGCCGTTGGTTTCCCGTTTCAGCCGGCCGGCCTCCCGCGCTTGCTCGACCGCCGCTCGGAGGTGCTCGGCGGGGTCGGCCCGGACGCCGGACAGCTTGCGGGCCAGGAGGAGGGCGGTGGAGTCCGCGAGGTGCTCCAGCATGTTGCACTGGGGCAGGAAGTAGTTGGGGCAGCTCTTGTTCAGAACGGAGTGAGAGAGGTCATCCAGGAGCCCCAGCAGCAGGCGAGCAGGGGTCTCGGGCTCCGGCGAGGAGAGGTACGAAGAGGGCAGGCGGTCACAAGCCCAGAACATGAGAGTGCGGAGGTGGTAGGGGCTCAGGGCCGCTTTGGGGCGTGCCACGAGCTTGCCGATGATGACCCGTGCGGCCTGGAAGGCCTGGCTCAGCGGCTGGGGGATGCACTTCTTCAGCTGCACCTCGCTGCGGGAGAAGGCCAGGCGCCACTCCTGGTCGGGCCGGCCCCCGGGGCCGCAGCAGGGCAGCAGGTAGAAGCCGCTGATGGCCTCTTCTTCCGTGATCTTCCCGTCCCAGAAGTGGTTGGCCGTCAGCCAGCCCTGGGCCACGGCCGGCCAGCCGCGGAAGGAGACGACGGGCAGCAGGTCGTAGAGGACGCGGCTGGTGCCCGCCGTCAGGATGAGGGTGGTGAGGGGCCCGTTGCGCTCCACCCGCTCCGGCACGGGGGTGCCCCTCTTCGGGTTGCACCGCAGCTCGCTCACCGCCGTGTCCACGGCCCCGGCGAACCAGTCCGCCACCAGCGTCGGGGAGAAGTAGCAGCCCTCCAGGGAGGGGGAAGCGTCGCCGTCGTCGTCTCCGGCGGCGCCCGAGGCCTCGCTCTCCTCCTGGCAGCAGTGCCGCCAGCGGGCCAGCGTGGCGGGCTCGCAGAGGCGCAGGCTGAGCCAGGAGTGGCAGGGCGCAGAGTGCCGCATGTCCAGGGTGACCGGCTGGTTCCGATCGTGCAGCTTGAGTGCAGGGACCAGCAGGGTGAAATCCAGGTCGTAATCGGCTCCCTTGACGTAGTCCCCCAGCTCCTCGGGGCTCAGGTCCAGCACGCCCTCTCTGGCACCCCCGGACAGCAACAGGTACTCATTGGCAACGGGCAGCCTCTGATCAAGCTTTTGCACGAGTCCTGCATTGAGGAAAAAGAGGAGACGAGCAGAGTTAAAACAACTCATTCACAGCCTACTTTCAGTAATGTGGCTACGCTGATGCTTTCTACGGCTCCTGAACAGAGTACAGCAAGCGATGTTAAATGTGTAATATGAACACAGGAAGGACTACTTAACAGCGCGTACCCAGAGGCGGTGAGATGCAGAAGCTCTGCACTTTAATGCTGACATTTTTGCAAGACTCATTTGTTATTCAATGAGGTCTCAATGTTATTTATCTTATGACTGATGTGTGTTAAGGATGGTAAGTGAAGTTGTGCTAGGTGGATGCTGTCTATTTTTGGCTTTATGTTGTATATTTGTATTGCATGTCTTTTCATTTGTATGAACCAAACCCAATTCCATGCAACAAGACCTTAAGACAAAAATGTGTTGAACCTGAACTTGACACTTTAAATATACTAAACACCAAAGAAACATTACAAGTCACAGTGTGGAAAAACCACAATCTTTTTGTAGAAACTGCACTGATATTTTATTGACCAGATATGGCATAGATTAATTTATGCTAACATTTGTTATTGACAAAGCTTATCAGTGGGGTGCCTACTGTGAAAGACACATGCCAGTTGTGTGCGTGCGAGACCACTGCCAGAAGCACCTGCAAGCTGTACAATCTACGAAAAACATGCTTTGCAGTAGATAGCAGATGCTGTCTTGTTTCACCATTCCTCTCACAGATTCTGGGCAAGCACGTTCCCATTCATGGGACTCTGACTCCTAGATCTCATGTCATCCCAGTTCATCCTACAGAAAGTTCGAAGGGGCTCAGGCCAGGCAAGTAGGATGCTTATTATAACTGTCATATTTTCATCTAGCGAAAAAAGTGTTGCTGTGTGCAGCGTGAGGGTACATGTTGTCCTGATACAAAACTGTCTTGTCAAAATGGACCCAGAATGTCAAGGTAGCACCACGCAAAGCAGACAGGATTCCATCGGTCTATCTGGTTAGCAGATGGACTCTCCTGCCCAGAAAAGTAGTGCATTGCTCTGCATGTCTGTATCACACTCACTTACTGTATGTTCATCAGAGCGGTCCACACAGAACTCTGTATCACTGCTAAAGCTGACTTGTCCTTAAGGCTTATGAGTCCACCTGAGGAGCTGCTCCAACACACTATTGGAATGAAGTTGTTGCTCTCTTGTTAAGTTGAACACACATGTTCCTTTCTGCATTTCTTCATTTTTCATTTTCAGAATCACATTATAATCTGTCTATGCCACTTGGCTGTATCATGATTTGTCTATTATTATTATTATTATTATTATTATTATTATTATTATTATTATTACTATTATTATTATGAGAAGCCATGATTGGTAAAGGTAAGGGGGAAATTTGGTCAGGATGCCAGGTTAACACCCTATTCTTTTTGAAAAATGCCCTGGGATTTAATGACTGCGGTCACTGAGGACCTTGGTTTTACGTCTCTATCAGACTGAGCAATCTTAGCTTTTCTAGGGGTCTCCCATCCAGATACTGGACAGGCTAACAGTGTCTTAGGTTCTGTGGGCTGCCAGTTGAGAAGATGCAGGACTATCCAAAGGAAACCACAAACATTTCATAACCATCCATCTATCTTCTAACCACTTTATCCAAAAACAGGTTCGCGGGAGCCACAGCCTATCCCTTCAAAGCAATGGGAGCAAGGAAGGGACCAGGCAGTCCATCACAGGGTACTCACGCAGACACACACACTCACGCCAGGGACAACTGAACTGAATTCGAACTGTGGCAGCAAACCAGAGCACCTGGAACAAAACTACATAAACACCGGGAGAACATACAAACTCCACACAGATAGCATCCCAGGTCCAGAACTGAACCAAAGGCCTCAGTTCTGTGAGCCAGCATTACTCACCACTGTGGCACCATGCCTCCCCAAAACAATACCGTGTTATTCACTGTAAGTGGCACAAAAACAGAAAAACAAGACAGTCGGACGCGCAAACTGACCACGGAGTTAACACAAGACTGATGGTGTTACTGCCCTGAGAAACGTGTGTGGTGTTTTAATGATATCAGTTTAATGGACAGGCTGTGGAGTGTAACTATGCTTAGATAATAGCACTAACAATAAGAGGCTGGGCTCCCTGGAGAGCCAACTTCCAGCTGTGATTGATGCATTAGGCATGGTGCAAGGCTGTGCTTTAATTCTTTTAACACGATTTCTTTGATCCAATTACAAGGGCTGTCTCCTGGCCACGCGGGGATCTTGATAGGCCTCTTCGTCTCACGAAACACAAATCCCGGGAGAAAATAGAGCCAACAAAAAGCGATCTGCCAAAATAAGCCTTGAAGGATGATGAAAGAAAGCCAAAGGGTTAACATCATCTGCGAAAGTGAAAGCAACCTCATTTCTTTTGCTTTTTCACAACTCGGCAACTTGGCACACATCAGAGTTGGAGATGAGAGACAAAAGTGAATTGGGACACTGGTGGCTTCTTTTTAAACATTAGACGCCACAAAAAAAGAAAAAGATGATTGTAACATGAGTGGCATTTCACATCTGTATATTTTTAGCAATTTCAGACAACCATAGCCTTTTTATTAAACTACAGAAACCATCACAGGGGGATTCTCTGATACAGATCTTGTCAGCTAATGCTACAGTTCACTGTGTACCAGGAAACTTAATTTCTTAAGCACCCACATGCTAATCAGGATCTTACCAATACAAGGATAAAGCCATACAATTCATATCTGGTTCTACTGGATACAATTCTAAAGGAGATCGTCCATCTTCATATCTACAGCATGTCAATCAGACTCCTTCACAAATTCAAAGCTTTGTCAGTCTTGGTGGTATGGAACATCCTGTCCAAACCCTCAGTACCCTGACACCATCTCACCCAGGATCCAACATATAAATTGACTACCACAAAGAGAAAGAAGCTCTCGACATAAGAACATCATTTGCCATCCTGGCCCGTAGAGACCAAATCATATTTAAATCAAGAAAATCTTAAGTTCACTGCATGGTGACAGATCCATTTCTTATGTATACCCCATCTTCAACTTACTGCTGCACACCAGCATGGGAGAGACAAGGATTTTGTACGCATGCATGCTTTGCTTCAGCAATATACACCTGTCTAAACCAGGAGCCATACCTCCAACAGAAAGACCCATAGTACCCATATAGGAGTGTTCTCATCAATTGGAGGAGTGATTTAGCTCTCAGTGATGACGCTAGAGGCAGACAGATCCATTCATGTCACTGTCATTGTGCTTAAATTTAGACATGACAACAAGCTCCACCATCTGCAACTGTTGTTTACAGTGGTGTGATGTCACCACTTGAGGAATCCTGGTCACAGTCAAATGATGACACACTCAAAGCAGCGACGTCTGGCCAATAAGGCTCAACCATCCATCCATATTCTAATTGCTTCATCCAATTCAGGATCACGGGGCAGCAAGAGCCTGTCTTGGCAAGTAACGGTCACAAGGGAGGGACCACTCTGGACAGGATGCCAGTCCAGCTCAGGGCACACACAGACACGCACACACTCACAGCACGGAAGGACGGCATTGTTAAAGTTTGTTCACTGTGAAATCTGGAGCACCTGAAGGAAACCCATCTTAACACAGGGAGAACATCCAAACTCCACCCAGACAGCACCCCAGGTCTGGAATTGAACCCAGGGCTCCAGCACTGCGAGGCAGCAATACTAACCCCTTTGCCACTGTGCTGATACTCCCCACCAAGAAAATAAAAATCTTAATTCTTCTGTTACTCCAGTCCAAAATCTGGTATTGGTGCCACTCACAAATGCAACACCATCCCCAAAAACATCATGGTGAAGTGTTCACTTTCAACTTTGCAGTACGCTAATGTAATTTTAATTGTACAGCAATCATTAGCCTGTTCAAATTAATACAGTTAGCCTCTTTCTTGTACCAGTGGATACCTAATGGCTCTATCAATTTAATTATTCCCAGGGACTCCACAACTTCAGACTCTCAATCACTTGAGTTCACTACAGCTAATGACTGGAACTCACTGTGACGGATTAAAATGAAGAATTTGAAGTCACAGAGTGGACATCCTGCTAACAAACATGGTCTATGAAAATGCAGAGCTTCTGGATAGTGGTAGGTGGTTATTAATTTAATGATTTACCATGCACAAGCTTTTATTTCTAGAATCTAGCTGGCTTTCTCCTGTAGTGGCACGAGTCACCTTATTAACATGAACATGCTCTTAATTACTTTAGCTCACCTCATTAAAATCATATCATTGATGAAGAATTGTTTTGGGCTTGCTCATCTATCAAAACCAAGGGCAGCATTAATACAAGTTTGATGTAGCATTTTGAGAAAGAGGAAGAATCCCTATCTTACATACAAACATGCTGATTTGAATGCTTTTTGTTTAAACCTGACTCATAACGGCATTCTTCTGATCTAAATGGGGCCTTCTCTATTAAAAAAAACATTTATCCTATTGATTAGCTTTTCATATATGTAATTATGTTTAATCCTCAACCTACCACTTGAATCAAAGAAAGAGAAAACGTTTCATTCTTTTAGTAAGCCCTGTTACATAAGTACAAAAGCCAGATCATTAGATCACAAACTCAGATTTGTGACTATATTAATTTACAAAAGTCTTACAGCAAGGATGTGCTCATCATTTTTAGTAGCTGAAAAGCAGATTAAATATTGCTAAACGCTCACATGTGGTGGAGAGATAGGTTTACATAAGCAATTTAGCAGAAACTGATTAAAAGGTCAGTGTTTCAATATGATATGTCAAGCACATCTAAAACCGAATTGTTGAGAACTTACAAACCCTGTTCAGACATAATTGCAAAGAGACTGCAACATTTCAACTGTCTTTTTCCCCCAATCAGTTTTCCAATTATGGTGTTCTGAGAGAGTATTTAATCTTCACAAAGCTTCACTGTATCATATCCACAGAATATAGAAAAATCCAGGAAACCGATCTCGGTACATTAGCAATGGTTCTGAGTTTTCCATCATCTCGCAGCTCAGCACGACAGCAAAGTAATGGCCATGTCATATGCGTGATCTGATTGAGAGAGATTTATGTGGGTTATGTAACAGAATGCGGTCTTCTCAAGAGGGTAGAAATAACAAAAATAGTCTTTTTATTGTAATTGCTGACAACTGCGTTCAATTGTTTTGTTTGCTGGGCGGAATGGTGGAGCAGTGGTGAGCACTGCTGCCCCGCAGCACTGGGGCCCTGGGTTCAATTCCTGGGGTTCTGTCCGTGTGGAGTTTGGATGTTCTCCTCTGTACTCATGTGGGTTCCCCCTGGGTGCTCCGGTTTCCTCCATCAATCTAAAGTTGGTTAACTGGCTGGAAAAACTGGTCCTGGTATGAGTGTGTCTGTGTGTGCCCTCTTAAAGCAACAAGGTACAGTCTGTGTATATGTATTTAATATTATTACTATGGGGCAGACACCCCCGTTACGTCCAAACTAGATCTGTTTTAATCTCCTGGCCAAATCCCTGCTGGAGGATGTAGAGTGTGAGGTGATTCTTGGTGCAGATATGAGTGCTGTCACAAATCAGGTGCTTGACAGACCTAAGGCAAAGGTGACTAATTTCCCTTAGCGCTAGTTTTTCACAACTATAGCATCAGAAAGTGTCTCTGATTTGGGTGTAGATATAAGATATAACCTTTCAGTCATGGAATTTGCTTTATTTAGCTAGACATCAATCATGCCCCAGAAGTGAATATACAGTATTTTTGCTGCTTTTCTGCAGCAGAGTTAGCACCCATCAGATCAGCATGCCAGTTTCTGCGGACTGTCACTAACTGCACCCTGCTGGCAATTTAATAACATGCTATTACACCCACTTCCTAGGCTACATAAGCGTTCAGTTCCTCAAGTCTTTATGTAACCCGAATATTATGAAAGTCAGTAGCGTCCCTTTCTTAACCATTGTGTGAGCACATACAGGTATAGGCAATTACTATTCATCTATTTTCAAATTGCTTCTTCCAATTCAGGGTCGGAGGGGGAGCTAGAGCCTATTCCTACAAGCTGCTGGTGCAAGGCAGGATACACCCTGGATGGGACACCAGTCCATCGCAGGGCACAGACAGACACACACACTCAGACCATGCTACTTTTTCCAAAAGGCAATTAATGTACCAGTTTGTCTTGGACTGAGGGAGAAAACCGGAGCACGGGGAGGAAAACCACATGAACAAACTCCACACAGACGGCACCCCAGGAATTGAACCTAGGACCCCAGTGCTGAGAGGCCACAATGCTCACCACTGCTCCACCATGCTGCTCTTTTGATTATTTTTCAGTGCTCAAAATATATATAATTGTTATAAAGAAAATAGAAAAAACATATTCTCATTTCACATGTTAACCAAGTTTGGTGCTGACTAGCCTTCGTAGAAGAAAAGTTAAAGAGCCTGGCATCCTCTCTCCCTTCCTAACCTTCCTTTCTCTCGTCGTCTCCTGTTGGGTCTGGGAGATGGCACAGCATAGAGGAGGCTTGGCAAAGCAGCTCAAAAGAACAAGCCAATAGCTTGGTGATGTCAATGGGTAGGCTTGATGCACTTATATGGGGAAAAGGGTTTGCAATCAAATATTATGTCTGATACTACTTTAATTTACTTTAAGTCAAGTTGGCCCAATACTTATGCTCACCTAAAATGGTGGAAATCCTACCCTAGTTGCACTCAGTCAGCTGTGCGCCACTACCTGGGGAATCCCAGTCACAGCTTGCTAGCGACAAAGCCCAGATTCAAACCATCCCAGCCAGGAGCACAAGGGACGACCTGCCTGATATCAGCTATGATCTACGCCTAAGATAAAACAATAGCATTTAGAAAAAAATAAGGTTTCTTCAGCACCAGGACTGTAGAGCAGTGGTTTGGAAAAAGTCCGGTTAATAGGAAAAAGTGCCCTTGAAGGTTCTCAAATACCATCTCCAACAACAATCTCATTTTTCTTTCATTTGTCTCTAATCCCACCATAAACACCCAGCTGTGCTGTGCTCTTGAGAGGTCCGGAGTCCAGGTGGTGCAGGAGCTCAGAGAAGCATTTAACAAATAGCACCTCTGTCATAAAAACCATGTGATGAATGGCAGCCTACGCACCCAGCATGTTGAAGATGAAGTCTTTGGCAGTGTGAACCTCCAGTGCGGTCTGATCCCCAAACTCCCGCTGCTCCAGCTGAACAAACTCCTGCACCAGCGCAGACAGCTGCTCCAGGCCAGCTCCTGAGCGGAAATCCACCTCTTGGGGCATCTTTACGGGGGCTGGGGGCCTCGGCGCCACAGCGCTCATTAGAGACTCCATGGCCCCTCACTGTGGGACAAGAGTAATGTGCTTGGTTAGAAGCCTCCCTGTATCCCCTCCTGGCTTTGTTCCACCACGATACAGCCAACTAGCCTACTGTCCTCTTCCACTCCACTCCCTCGCTCAGCAGTGGTGTACCTGTTGTCTGTGAACATGAGAAATGACAATCACCCCCATTAAAGACACAACACTTCCCTGGTCAAACTGCACCTATTACTCACTCCTGCCTGCTTCTGTCCTGCTGCCATCCCATTTATTGTGGATATGGTTTTGTATTTGTTGCAATACAGTTGTTGTATAATACAAACTGCTTAACTATAACACACACACATAGCAGTTCCGACTTTGCCATCCCAGTACATTTGGAGGGCATTGTATGATACTTTTGTTTTCAGATGAAACATGCATTTAACAGCAAGCTTAGCCCTTACAAAATTAAACGGTAGTGTTATGCTGGTATAATGCTACCTTAACTACACTGAAAGTAGACAATAAAAATAACCAGTTAACCAGCCATAGCATGTGACAGTTTAAGCAATAGTATGATCAATCCTGTGTGATCAAATTATTTTTCTATACATATAATTATGGCTTTTAAGTTTTCAAAAATTGGTCAGTTGACTGGGCATCCATCTGAAACACTATAAGCATTAGCCAAGACATAATTCCTGGAAAATTAACAATACTGTTAATAATACCTGAACAAACTTCTTCAGGACAACTGGAGAAACTAAAATCAATACTATTGGCCCATACAGTATAAGACCCTAAGCTATTCCTTTCAGATTACAACATGTGTGTGGTGACATTACCTCTTATTTAACAGTGTGTTAAGGACACGGATCTCAAAATCGAAGACAAACAGCATGTAAATCTCTGATGATAATAGTAACAATGTATATATTAAAACAATCAGGAATAATTATTGACTAAAAATAATTATGTCTGAATGTTACAGAGGGAATAACAACAGCCGAGTTCAATGGCCCATGGATGTGGATGTCCTAGATCGTTATCATTCCTGATGTCATTTTCTCACATTAAAACAAATTATAAATACTGTATCCATTTCTCTCCCTCGTGTGCTCTGCATCCCTCCTCCACCTATCACCACCTGTGCAGCTGCCCCTGGTCACTCCTCACTCAACATGGGGGGTCCCAGCCTCCTCGTCCCACAGCTAGGGGGCTGGCCCACAGCCAGGCAGCTTAAGGCAAATCTTACAATGACTAAACGATCAATAAACACATTCAATACAGTCAATTCGTGGGTGTTGGTCTTCCTAGTGAAAGACTAGATTATAGGACATTTCATTCATAAGATGCTTCACTTTCAGATATTTGCATTTGTTTGTGAGCACGGTCTCAAGCTTACAGGAACTATTTTCTCTTCTCTCTCATTGGGCAGCAAGATAAGCATTTCCTCAGAATGCTGGAGGGTATACAGCACTCTCAGCTAACAAATTAACCAACTCTCTGATTGCTGAATATTGCCACTCTGCAACACTATTGATTCTGCTTCAAGTCTGGCAATATGTCAATGTCTGGTTTTGGGAATTATGCTTGAAAAACAAATACTCTGGAAAGAACAAAGCAGATGAGCAAATACTTCACTCAGCCATCATTTTTAACCACTGTATCCAACACAAACTAGAAATACCCAGTATCCAGAGGAAACCTACATGAACCTAGGGAGAACATGCAAACTCCCCAAAGATAGCATCACAAGACCTGAACCCAGGGCCTCAGTTCTGTATGGCTGCAATGCTACCCAATGTCCCACCATGCTATAAGTAATCAAAAATTCCATATGGAAAATATTTGACCTCAAGAATGCCAAAATGACCTGCCCTAAAAAAAAACAAATATCCAAGTTGTACATCCACACTAAGGGATATGGAACATTTCAGAGTCACGATTTGCTTTATTAACTACCAGTAAATTATACACTGCACAGGCACCATGCTGAATCCTCTGACTGCAATTTTTCTCTGTATGCTTGACTTAATTTATATGTCCAGGTACAGAGAAAGAGATCATACTGAGAATCGGAGTTTCCAAGAGCACATTATTACAAGGGACCCAGCATGTTTTATTCTCCCGTTAAAAGGAACAGAACTGTATTCCAGCTGGGCTTGCAATTTTGATAAGGTAATCAGCAAAACTGGTCAGACTTCTCCTTCGTCAGGCCAAACTTGAAATTAGCCTTCAACACAAAGAAAATAAATGGTCCTGATAGGTAGTTGTCCCTTCATGTGCCCGTGTGTTCCTAATCACTAGCCTGCTGTGGCTGCTTCATTTCAAATCCTTTGGTAGTGTTTTGCGAGCTGTCTCCACACGCTGAAAAATGGCACCTTGCATTGTGTTAAAACAATTCTCAGGTAAGCACTCGCTGATGTAAATGGCTTACGAGAAGAATGAATGTAAGACCTCTTTAGGACCATGTAGCACATCTTATAGACTATGCAGCTCCAAGTTGCAATCTGTACCAAGCAAAGGAAGCAGATCCATCCATCTCTAACTGCTTTTTCCAATTCAGCGCTGTGGGGGAGCCGGGGTCTATCTAAGCAAGCAATGGACACAAGGCAGGGTACACCCTGGACTGGACACCAGTCAACCACAAAACACAGAGACACAGACACACACACCAGGGCCGATTTTACCAGAAGCCAGCTAACCCGCCAAAATAGTTCAGGACTGTGGGAGGAAACCAGAGCACCCAGAGGAAACCCACAGGAACACAGGGAGAACATGCAGACTCCAACGCAGAACAACAACCCAGGTCCAGAAAAGAACACCAGCATTCAGCATCCACCTTAGAAATGCAACAGTAGCTTCATGAAATACATCAGCAACTAAATTAGGGAGAACGTTATAGGCACTTTTAATATATACAGTATACAGCATAACATTTCACTCTAAAACAGGGAAAATCAATGTTGTCCGATCTTCTTATTAATGGAAATATCTTAATTAAGCCAGCTTCCTTCCAAAGACATACTGGGAAGTTAATTGCCTTCTGGAAACATTAGTCCTGGTGTGTGTTTTTGTCTGTATTTGTGTTAGCCTTGAGATGGACAGATGTACCCCACCTAGTGCCCACTGGTTGCTGGGATAGCCTCAGACTCCCACACGACCCTGTAGCGGATAAAGTGCTTTAAAAATAGAGCCATGTGTGCTAACTGAAATGTATAATTTAAAGAACATCAGAGAAAACGATGGGATAGCTGCAACCAAAAAGAAAATACAGTACCGGAAAACAAAATGATCAAATATTTTTAACTGAGCAGCTGAATTCAAAGGAGACCCTTCTCCTCAAAACACAAACAGATTCAGCTACAGTGCAAGATCTTTCTCAGGCTTGAGCTTCATGTGGATACTTCTCTTTTACACTGTACTCGTGCCAGCAGTGCTATTACACACGTTTGATGTAATCATGAAGTGGGTCTCCTCTGTCGAAAGGGACCGCTTGAAGTGGGGTTCCTCACAGACACAGCACACAGCTTTCCTGTCAGTACCTGCGCAATGAACAGAAGACTCCTCGATGAGCAGGACAGCCCCAACAACACACAGCTTGTTGTATGAAAAATCTTCGATGCGTTCTTAACAAAAAGGGGAGAATCAAGCAATATCCTCTGACTTTGTCTCTAGTTGCATCTTTTGAGACCACTTCTTGGCTCCAAATTCCCAAAGCAGGACAGATTTAAAAGCACATTATTATACCTTCCAAGCTATGTTATCTGAGGGATAATTTTACACCACTGCGGGTATTCGTGTTGTCTAAAATAGAAAGCACCATTCCAGGTCAGTCTTAGCTAACTGTAACAAACTATGTACACTATATTTTTCTATCATTCTGTTCAAGATCAGAAAGAATAGTGTCCATATTATGATTAACATTTACAAATTAAGATCTGTTAGGAAGACTGCTTTAAACGCCCCAGTCACTAGACTAAGCGTGTCATTCATAGTCATTTACAGTACCTACGCCTAAATGTGTGGGTGTGTTGATTAATATACACATTTTGGTCTGTTTTTAAAAAGTGTCAGTTCAACTTGTAATTAGCTGATTTGTCTAGAACGTCTTGGATCAGTTTCTACACTATCGAACATTTTTTCAGACGAAGATAAAAAAATACAGTCCGACTGGAATGCAGTTTTTATATTGATCTGCTTGTGATTAAACAAAGCAGAAAACAGAAAAAAAATACGTGGAAAGAGATTTTGATTCTATCCTTTTACCATCTTCCTATTACTAATTTGTCTTAAAATGCTAAACGTAACAGAGCCTAAATTAGCTTTTCGGAACCAGAGCCTGGAGTTAACGTGATATCCAATCGCCTGTTGCAGGTGCTGCAAAATACAATCACCTCTTCTACGATGTGGATCGTTTTAGTCCATGAGTCTTCGGATTCAAAGCTGAGAACAGTGTACTAAAACGACGACTCACAGAATTCCCGACGCACTTGAGGAATGTGTGCCTATGGGCGATATGTTTGCGGTTGTTAAAGCCGATCTTATCTCCTTTCCCTTCCAACAGGTCCGACTGCACACCTTCCCCCTAGCAACTATGACTCCGGAAATCAGGTGCCGCGCAAAAGCATGACGGGAGATGAAGTTTTCTAAAAAAAATACAACTAGAAATCAAGATTTTGTAAGTCGACTGATGGTGTAGCGCACCACGTACAGTATGTTTTTAATTACTCGGGACATTATTATCGTGCTTGAGTTTCCCATTAATACCGTTGAAAAATGCGATGCTTTGTTTTCAGATTTGTAGAAGTATTTGTAATTGCTGCAACAGAAAAGTTTGCAATGGCTTTTTAAACATTAACTAAACTGGTTCTCTGTTCGTTTTCATCTTGTTACCAAAACTCTGTCACAGATCGTAAACACAAAATGAATACACCAATACATTAGCTCATTGTCAGGAGGTAAAACAATGCTTTTTTATTTCAATATTTACTGCTTAAAAGTATATAAAAGCAGATGTCTACATCTAAACTCTACATTTACAGTAAGTTCTTTAGAAAACAATCTTCATGTTTTGACAATATCCAAATTGCCAACAAGAAAGAAAACAGAACTTCTTCTGTGTCAAAATGATAAAAAGCCCCAAAGTCAAGAACACTGTTCCAGCAAGCAACTTTAGGTTTTATTGTGGTATATTCCATTTTCTGAAAAAGCTATGATGATCAAACAACCAACGTTTTGCAGTTGTGTCTTCTGTAGTTATACATTCTATTTGTTTTTTCTTTATCGTTTCATTAGAGCATATAAAAGGTTTTTTACTTGTTGTTAAAATTTTACTTACTATAATCACCATGTATTGTCTGTATTTAAGGCCAGCCAATTTAATTCTGGTTAATCTGCTTCTGAAGCCATGCCGTCTTACTCTGGACCCTCAAAACTTTAAAGAAGTACCACCTGTTCCATCCATCCATCCTTCTTCTTCATCCAATTCAGGGTCACAGGGGACCTGGAGCCTGTCCCAGGAAGCAACAGGCACAAGGCAGGATACCCCCATGGATGGGACACCAGTCTAGCGCAGGGCAGCCAGACACAAACACACACAGGGATAATTTTTTTCATAAGTCAATTAACCTACCAGTATGTCTTTGGACTGTGGTAGGAAACTGGAGCACCTGGAGAGAAACCCATACAAACGCTGGGAGAACATTCAAACTCCACACGGACAGCACCCCAGGTCTGGAATGGAACCCTGTGTCACGTCAGCTGCTAATCTGAACCCTCCTCACAAATGGTCTCGTCCCGATTAAGCACCAGGTGGATCTCCGCAAACACCGCCGATCTATCCCTTCAACCAATCAGAGCACCTCACTCGTTAACACACCCTCCACTTCCAGACTTACGTAAGCCTCCTCTGTTTCACTGAACACTGCACGTTATTGTTAGCTTCTTCGGAACTCCTTGCCTCTCGTTATTAACTTCCTCTTGCCTCTTTGGATACTCGAACTCAGATCTTACCCTTTGACCTCAATCTTGTCTGATGCTTTGTATTTGACTGCCTTTCTCCGTTTGGATAACCTTTGGTATCGAGCCCGGAATTCGTCCCCGACTACGTCTCTGTCTAACGTTTGGGATTCGTCAGCAATCTCTCCTGTCTCGGCTCCCCAACTCCGCATAGGGTTCTCCGCCTGTACCCCCCATTGTCAGCTGTATATGTGTGGCCTCATAGGTTCGACTTGAAATCTCACGCCCTCCAGTTCGCTATATGAGCACTGAAGTAGTCCTATGGGTTGACTTTGTCAATAACCTTTCACAATTATAGATCTGTAACAAATCCCTCGTTATTTCCTCTTCTCAGTACTAAAAAGATTCTGTTCATTTGTCGTGTTGGTGAAAACACTCCCTTGAGGCCACAAGCTAACCTTGTTATCCTTCTTTGATCTGATTCTCAAGCACCACTGTCCTTTGTGTAACACGGTGAACTGAACTGCACACAATTATTCTCTAAGCCCTATTTGTTTCTACCTGCTGTTTCTGTGTTGCCACTCTCTAGTGGTGCTTATGGGGTCTCTCATGCAGTGTCGATTAAACTTTAATTTCTCTGTCTCAGGTTTAGCTGACAAGATTGTTTGATCACCAAGGGCGGCTGGGATAGGGCCTTTTTGCAGGTCTTCATTAAAAAGTCATATCTAACAGTGGTACATGGTACAATTCCCTGAGGAATTCTGGCTTTAAAAGTGATCGTAATGTTGCTGTGTTATGTTTTTAGCTACCAATAATCTCCTATTGAGACTGTTGCAAAGAGGGGATTGACAGGGCTGTCAGACTATAGTAGGTTTCAAAGGATCCAGTGATACACAGGGATGGCACATTTCTGTTTCACTACAACAGATAATGTACCATTTGAAACCATTTATTAATACAATCTCAGTTTTATAATGGCATCCTGTAAATACAGGATCCATGCACAAAATATTTTAAAAAGTAACATTTTCATAATATGAGAAGTCAATCAAAAATATATATTTTTAAATAAAAATAAATGGCTTATTGGGAATTGTTATTGGAAACAGGCAAAAGATATGTACAGTAATGTGCCCTTTTTTGCGTTATCAGATATTATGTGTTATAAAGTGAAAATTCACTTTTTTCCTGGCATTGAATTGCTTTAACAGAACACTGTGTTTCCGTTTTCTAACCACGTTATCCAATACAGGGTCACAGGGAAGCCAGAGCCTATCCCAGCAAGCAACAGGCACAAAGCAGGGTACAACCTGGAAGAGACACTAGTCTATTGGAGGGCACACACAGACTCACTCACACTCACTCAGTTTTCCTAGAAGCCAATTTACCCACCAGTGTATCTTCGGACTGTGGAGGGAAACCGAAATGAACACAGAGAGAACATACAAACTCCATGAGTATAGTACCCCAGGTCTGGAATTGAATCCAGAGCCGCAGCACTGCTGACCACTGCACCACAATGCCACCCTCATAATTAATGGATTCATATTCCCTAGTACTCTGAATACAACCAGAAAACATGCTATCAGGCCCAAGTGGTTCCTTCAAGCACTTCTAAGCTTTGTAACTCCTCAGTATGTGCTGTGTGGAGATGATCTAGTGAAAAACTCTTTAAAATATTAATCAAGAACATTTACTGTTCCCCTTTTATGTTCTTCAATTAGTCCATCATTAACAATTAGTCTCCTATTTCCTTTACTACCACTTCTTCTGTTTTGTATGTAAAAATCCTTTTGTGTTAGCACTTAACCCCTGGCGGTGTTCTTTAATCTTAGGTCTCTCCCTGTCTCAGCCCTCTTGATGTCTTTTTTGCCTTTTTTGCTCTCAGCGTCATTTACTTTTTTGCTTCTTTTGTTCTTAGATCTTTTATGTGCATAGCTTTCTCTCTTAATAATATTCTTATTTGATCCAATAAGCCAATAATTATGCCACAGTTCCTTACGCTTGATATTGCATACCTTGGGGACTAACTTATGTGCCTCTAGCGATACAAACTGAACATCAAAAGAAACATCATTTTTAACTGAAACAACTTTATCAGGCAAATGTCCATCTTTTTTTTTCTAGTAGGTGCACTGCCATATTATTGTAAAGACATGGCATTAGTAAATCTTTCCATCCATTTTCTAACCACTTCTTCCAATTCAGGGCTGCAGGGGAGCCAGAGCCTCTCCTGGCAAGAAACAGGAGCAAGGCAGGGTACACCCTGGATGGGACGCTCGCCCACATACAGTAAGCATCAAGATGTTCATTGTCCTGCTGGAATGACAGTGTCAGGATGATTCCAGGAAGGGAAGCCAGAGAGGCCCCAGGGAACAGTGTGGGCCTGTTCCCTGTGCTGTACAGTCAGGCTTGAATCAGTCATTGTAAAAGTGGAGTTCTGCAGCAACCAGAATCTACTACCCTGACCAGCCTTCCCCTCTCCAAAACCATGATTGCTCCCAGTCTGTTGAACACCATGATTAATGCGGCATGGGTGGTACAGTGGCACAGAGGTCAGCATTGCTGCCTCAAGGTTCTGGGGCCCTGGGTTCAATTCCAGACCTGGGGTGCTATTTGTGTGGAGTTTGTATGTTCTACCCATGTTCACATGGGTTTTCTCCAGGTGCTCCAGTCAAAAGACATACTTGTAGGTTAATTGGCCACAAGTGAACTTAACCAATTAAGAGAAGACTGACCCTCATGTGAGTGTGTTTGTGTTTGCCTGCCCTGTGATGAACTGGTGTCCTGTCCCGGGTGTAAACTGCTATGCACTATTTACTTTCCAAGATCCCTAGCCCCCCTGTGAACCTGCACTGGATCAAATGGTTAGAACATGAATGGATGGAGTTCTTTAATGGTGGCAGCAGTACAGGTGCTAAGCTGAGGAATCTATTGACCGTCTCTGGAAATGTGTATTTCTCTGGGCATCAACTTATACATATTGTACCGGGCGGAGCGGTGGCTCTGTGGCTAAGGATCTGCGTCTGTGGCTGGAAGGTTGCCAGTTCAAATCCCGTGGCCGGCAGAGGAATCCTACTCCATTGGGCCCCTGAGCAAAGCCCTTAACCCTAACTGCTCCAGGGGCACCGTACAATGGCAGACCCTGCGCTCTGACCCCAAGCTTCTCTCCCTGTCTGTGTGTCTGTGTCTCCTTGGAGAAAAGCTGGGGTATGCGAAAAGACGAATTCCTAATGCAAGAAATTGTATAGGGCTAATAAAAAAACATTATAAAACCCCTCTCCTCTCTTTAAGAGGAGATAGGGACATTTTTAATACATTGCTCTACTGTCTTCAGCTCCCAGTACACCTGCTTGCTAAACCTTATCAAAAGTGTTTATATCTTCAAGTTCTGACATTTTATTATAATATTATGATTATAGTTTCTATAGGAACACATTTCTATCCATTGTCTGGAGCACTTTAAATGAATGAAAACACTAGGGGGCAGAGTTTTTCCATTGAACAATATATATAGAAGCTAACTGAAAATATTAAATTCTCAATATGTACTGCACATGCATAAAAGCTCATGTTTTGTCACCTGTATCTTACACATGGGTTAATCTCCACTAAGAATGAGATTACAGCACAGTGCCATCTGTATCTCCTTAATGCCCACGTGGTCAACTCTTGATATATTCCATCCATTTTCCAACTGCATTATTCAATACAGCAGGGGAGCCAAAGATGAACCAGGCAATCAATGGGCTCAAGGCAGGGTACACCCTGGGCAGAACCCAAGGCCATCACAGGGCAGATTGACACAGACACACAAACTCACACCAGGACCAGTTTTCCAAGAAGCTCAGTAACCTATCAGTACAGTATGTCTTGGGACCATGGCAGAAACCCGGAGATTCCAGAGGAAACCCTCGCACACATGAGGAGAACAAACATCCTCCATGCAGACAGCACCCCAAGACCGGAACTGAACCCAAGGTGAGACAGCAATGTTAACTACTGCAAACTGTGAAGACCTCTGTGGCAAGCTGTCTGAAGGGTACTGCAGCAAATGATTTATTAATTGATCTTGCCTTTATAGATCTCAAGAGTATAAACGTCCAAATGCTTCATTCTATATTTTAGGAGGCTGTTTCACAATCAAGACTGATTTCCTCCGGCTGGTTTGAACAGGGAAGAGTGCTGATTGTACAGCCATCATCTGCTTGCTCAGGAGCCCATGGGTGCACCCTACCTATCCTACCTTGTGACTTTGCGTGTAAAGGGTATGAAAGCCCATCATCCCATTTCATGTTTCATGAAAAACAGGTCAGGTTAGGATGCAATACCTCAGATATAGTCAGGACAGACATTCAAACAGAGCAGTGGTCCCAGCCTTCCATAAATGATAGTTTTCTGCATTAAAGCCATGATTAGGTAATATAAATGCTTAAAACCTGCATTTCTGACAATGAAATGCACACAAAACATTTTCTCTAGTGTTGTGGATAGCATCATCACTGAGCAGCTGGAGTATCACAAAGTGCCCAACAGCATAGTTCACAATTTCACCTGGATGGGTCTCTCTCTTCAGCAATTAACATGTTACAAGAGAAAGGTTTCCAGTGACAGACCCTGTGGTCCTTTTAGATTGTTTGGTAATTAGCAGCTAATTGATCCAAGGATCTCACTCATCTTTTTTAAAGAAGCCAAAATATTGACTTTAACCACATGGTGGTTAGAGCTTGTTCCACACTCCCGCCACCCTTTGGGTAAGGAAGTGCCTGGTGTTCTTGGTTTGAAATGCACTTGCATTTAATTTCCTCGGGTTCGTGTTCCACTTTTACAATACACAATGCAGACAGTCAAGCCCCACCACCCAAACCCTAACAACTCCAACCATGTCTCCATTGTCACAGGTAGGAGAAGACCGACCAGCTTTACATTCTCTCAAAAGAAACACCTAAGCAGCAACAAAATTTGCATCCAGGTACTTGTATGTGGTCCCACTGTTATACCAGATCTGATGTATTGTTGCCACATATCATTCATACACACACATACAGTAGTATTCACCACGTACTAAAATTCTCTCATTCATGAGATGATTTAAAGCTTATGCAACACTCATTTGAGGAGATCACAGCCAGTCATGAATGATGATCAAAACTAAGGCAATAATCATTCAATCAATATCTCAACTACCCAATTATTCATAAAATATACATGCATGGACAGAAGAGTAACTTTGCTTTGAGGCTCAGCATATTGATTACTTCTCATAAATCTTACTTCATCATCTACAGTATATGTCGTTCCCTATTTACTTTAAGATCTATTCACCTGAAGTTTGAGCATACAAAAGGCAAATGTTTGTTGGCAAAAGAAAATGTAGAATTTCAATCAAGGTTTACACAAAAACCCTGTAATTCTGAATGATGTGTTCAATGTTGATCACAACCATATAAAGAGATCGCTGCCCTGTAACAGCTTAAAACCAGAACACAATAAGAAAGTCACATGTTAAAGGAACAGGGTCCCTGTGGTCTTGAACAGAAAATATTTTGAAAGGATCTAACTGAAGGGGTTTTAAAGATTAAACAATGTTGAGCACTTGGGACTGGAATCATTGAGCACTCCATTTCATAAGGACTTGTGGATGTCTGTAACAAGCTGCTCAGCCATGCTGTCCAAGCTCACTCTCTTTCAAAGTTATGCCTTATTAGTTTTGGATGGCGAGGCAGGTGGCACAGTAGTTAGTATTGCTGCCTCACAGCACTGGGGTTCAAGCTTCTGGCTGCTATCAGCATGGAGCTTGTTGTTCTCTCCATGTTCACTTGGGTATCCTCCCACAGTCCAGAAACATACAGTACATTGGCTTCCCTCGTGAGAGTGTGTTTGTGTCTATATGTACCCTACGACTTACGACTGGGGGCCCATCTAGCGTGTTTCCTACATTGCCACCATTGTTTGCCAGGATAGGCTCTGGCTCCCACATGACCCTGTAGTGGACAAAGGTTGGATGGTTTCAAATCACATGCCATCTTTCCTTATCTGAGGCTGTCTAAGTGTATCCCTGACCTTGGAATGATACCTACAAGACCTAAAATAACTTTCCAGGTCTTTGTTTATTTTAGTTTCACAAAATCGTTTCTCCCTTTCCTCACTCCATCCCGGGAGGAAAAAAGCAATGATCAAAAGATATTCACTTCAAACCACACGATTTGCCCCACCCCCACGCACTTCAACTACAATGTCACATTGAAACATTTCCTTTGAAAACGCCAGAGCCAGCTGTGGAGGCCAGGTAATTAGGGAAGAAGTAAAGACAGAGGTACTCCCGCCACCTCATGTTCCCCTGAGGGCTAACAATCAGTATTCCAAAAGCCTTCCTGTTGCTAGGCATCCATTCAAACATACAGTACTATCACCCAGTTTCGTAACAAGGACCCCATTCTGAAATCAACAAAAAGCCTAAATCCATCCTGCTATGGCCCAGGAGTCATCTGGCCTTCCACACACACACTCAGCCTGCATTTCCTAATTTAAATTTAGTGTTTGACCTCTGTTTTCAGACAAGCCAAGCAAAGCAATGCTTGCTTCTGGAGCGTTTCCTGTGTGCATCCTCCATCCCATGAATTCCACATGGAGTTTGTACGTTTCCCCGTGTTCATGTGGGTTTCCTCTGGGTGCTTCAGTTTCCTCCCACAGGCCAAAAAGATACCGGTAGGTTAATTGGTGTCTGGGAGTGTGTGTGTGTTTGTGTCTGTGTGGGCCCAGCGATGGACTGGCATCCTGTCCAGGGCGTACCCTGCCTTGCACCCATTTGCTTGATGGGATAGACTCTGGCTTCCCTGTGATCCTGAATCGGATGATGTAGTTTGAAATGGATGGATAGATGTACGGCCAAAAGATAAATAAAAGTCAGTGCAGTTACTTTTCTTACTTATTGACGAGCAACCAAGACAAATATGCAAATATCAAAGTTTAAATCACTTTATTTGACAGTAGCTCTGGAAAATAAGAATCACAAAATATAGAATTAAAAGTGGTCTCCTTAAGTGGAGGATATGAATTCAGATTCATGCATCTCAATTATTTGAAACACAGCTGCATTGATGATAGCAGAGCAGAAAAAAAACCCTTAAAAATCAAATACACCATCAGAAGGCCAAACATGCCAGAACATGCATTTAAAAAATATATTTATGGTCTTAGAAAGTCAAAATGATGGACTTTAAATTCACATTGAGATGTGGGATAGGCAGCAAATAATACACTGACAGTACTGATCACCATAATAATAATATCCTACCAGCAGCCTGCAAAAACAACTTCACTGATCAGTAGTGTTTCAACCAAGTTTAGTGAAGTTTCAAAGAGCGAGCCTGAATTTATTACAGAGATTAACAAAACCTCACAAAATAGTGTTCAGGATTAGTTCTTTGTGTTCTTTACAGCCATGAATCTAATCCGAAATTATGGTAAATTCAATTACAATCTGCTCACAAATAAAACAAAGGAAAAGAAGCAGTGCACCAAAACCAGACAGACTTAGAGGAAATAAGTACCCAGCTGTACAATGCTTAAATATCACTGCTGACTGGATTGAAATCAATACTGTCTGCCTGGCAGCCAGGTGTTAAAGTCAGGCCAATCACACTACAGACATCATCCCAACACTCGCCAAAGCCTTTAAGAAAATAAAACTGTGTGATGAGCAGATTACATTAAAATCAATATTAACAACACAGTCCCCCAACACAGCACTTGCTTTTCAAGGTTTGTATTATGAGCGTATAAAGATTTGAATGGGCCATGGCCATTCAGGTTCATGTGATGTTTAAGCACAAGATCTGTGGATAATTATACTTCAGGAGATCCATCATGTATCGCTCCACGATAAGAAACAGCAGCAACTGCACTACAAAGCTAATGTTAATCTGGCTGACACTTACCGTCACATTTCCAGTTATTCACAGCCTATTCCTTTTTATATTATTGAAGCCTTTAATCAACAGACTAAAGAGTGCTTAATGCCTCCTCTCTAAAACACAAACTCACACCTTTCAAATTCAATTTAAATTCAAACCAAACAAGTTTGTGTACTCTACTGTTATTATCAGGCTCTCCTTCCAGAATAACCTCTTCCTTTCCTTTAATAAATTACTGGAATTACCTTTAATGGAATTAATAAACAAACCTAATGCTCCCTCCCCCCATCTCAAAATGATACAAAGTTCTATCATTGAAAGGTCACACTTTATTCATTTAGCATGTGGTCTCCTTTAAACCAGACTGCTCTGGTATAGGTTTTAGACTGTAGATCCGGTTCTCTGTAGAGAATAGGGATGTCTCGCTCTGCCCCTCAGTGCAGGGGATCTTGGAATGTGAGGGTGAGGTCAGAGGGCAATTGCTGCCCAGCCTGCAATGAGCAGCGACCCCCCCCAGGGCGCAGCCTTGCTGAACGTGGGGTCCCCTGTGATTGCATGGTAGTAGAAGGACCCACAGAACATTACCATGCCAGAGGTCAGCAAGGTGCCAGCCTGGAAAGAAACAAATCAGATTACATGGTCAGACATGCTAGGCCTTCCCTTGTGTTTATCCATCCAACCTCTAACCACATCATCCAATTCAGGGTCACTGTAGGAAGAAACTGGAGCAGCAGGAGGAAACCCATGTGGACCTGGGGAGAAAACGCCGAATGCACCCCAGTTTCCCTCCTCGTACACTGGTCTCCTCGCACAATCCAAAGACATACTGGTAGGTTATTCGGCTTTTGGGAAAATGAGCACTTGTGTGAGTTTGTGTGTCTGTGTGTGCCCTATGATGGACTGGTGTCCTGTCCAGGGTGTATCCTGCCTTGTGTCCATTAATTGCTGGGACATGCCTCGGCTGCCCTGCGACCCTGAGTTGGATGGATGGATGGATGGGTGTGAACTGTAGGACCTTGGATTCACTGAATCACCACCAGGTAAAAATCTTACACAATGAGTAGAGACAAACTTGATCTGGTCTTACATGTACTGATTCATCCTCATGTACCATCTCAGCCAGTACACGACAAATATTTTCAAGTTATATGCCAAAAACTGGAAAAGGCAAGGTTATTAGACCTCTGGAAATAGGAACAGAATAAGTAGTATATAATTTTAAGATATTTTGGGGGGGAAGCACAGTATAGTGGGAAAGTTGTGGGTTCAAGTCCCTGCTATGGAGCCACTGTTGTCCCCTTGAGCGAGGTGCTCTACCCAGCTGTATAAGGGGGCAGCAGATGGACCAGTGTCCCATCCAGGGGGAGGAGTCACAGCGCAACGCCATGGCAACCACAATGACCTCTTTCTTGATGAGCCACTCTGGCTCAGATACAGACATGACCTTTTCTTCTGCTCCAACTTACCACAACTGGCTTCCTGCAGCGCGCAGCCCCCAGTAGTGCCAGGCTATGAAGGAAGTGGTACTTGTTGGCCGTTTCAAACATCTAGAAAAAAAGGCGTAAAACAAGGACATTTTAATTGTAACAGACAGATGACTCCAGTTATATATTCACATTCAGTGACTGTACACAATATGGGGACCTTGTACCCCATACAAGCATTCAACATTTTGTCCAAGACGACAACTTTGCAACGAGCTGGGCTAAACTGAAGCCGATAACTTCCTAGTCAGCAGGCATAAAAGACATAAAAACAGATAGCAAATTGAAACAAAAGAACAAAACACTGAATGATGATTGTGTGACTTTCATAGTAGCTAACCAGTTTTCACTTAATAATTCAGCAGGATAATCTAACATTCAATTGCAGAGAGACAAACCTGTTTCCTGACTGTACCTAAAGGTTTCCTCTTCAGACTGGAATACACCTGGCCTATCAGTATAGCATTTGTATTTTATTGTCCTATTTAATACCACATCACACTGGGGAACCAAAGCACAGAACACGTGAGGCACTTCATCTCGGAGACAATTTTTAGCTATGCAGCTCTACACGTGATGACAACACACAGTAGCATGGGATAACCACCAGTCAGAGAAGTTACATCAAATGAGACATTTTCACACAGAATGCTGGGTACTGACTTTTGACTTTAATACAGATGGGGAAGAAATGGCGATGCTTAATTTAAAATCGCATATTGTGAGATCTGTGTACTGTGATTTAGTTTACACAACAATGGATCTACTAACCACAATCCTTCATTAATTCTTAGAATTAATAAGAACTCCCTTCACATCTTGCCACTGTAGTCATATTAATAATGCATTACAAATCAAAAGCCAGTGAGTCCTGCTGTAGTACCTGCTTGATACTGTATTACCCTTTAACACAACAAAACATATTATGAGGCCATCATAACTGCTACTTTGCAGTCTTTTTTCGCCATTAAGTTTACGGCTTAAATGTCAACAATGTATATTCACACAGAAAATATTGCTTCAATACAGGCAAAAGGCAGTCATTTTTAATGTGTGTGAAAGTAACTTAGTTTGCTTTGGGCTACATTGCAGCTCAGTAACTCCAAAACCATAAAGGGAGAGGTTCTTAATCTTGTTTGAGGATCACAAAATAAACTTCAATTCTACAAAATTGAACATATATTGCTCCTGTATTTCATAAACCATATATCTCACACCTGGTTGATTTAAATCGGATTTGACATTAGCAGTTACTCTCCGACATGAAACCTGAGCGTGCATGTTAAAGAATAAGAGTGAAGTTCTCATGCTTTCACTCCTAGATAGCTTTAATAAAGCACTAATCATTTTAACTCAGGTTGATCTATTAAAAATGCCAGGTTGGAAAAAGAAAGGAATTAGTAAGGTAGATGATACTAAGGTTGACAACTGTATCAACCTGCATAAACAGTAATTAAAAATGTAATGTGTCAGCTCTGGGTACTTAATTTATAATTAATGTACTTCAGTCATGGGCAGAGCAGTCGTGCAGTGGTTGGTATTTGCTGCTTAGCAGTGCATGGGCCCTGGGTTCAGTTCCTGGGGTGCTATCTGCATGAAGTTTTTATGTTCTCCCTGGCTTTGCGTGGGTTTCAGCCCACAGTGCAAAGACATACTGGTACAGGAGGTTAATAAAGTTCAGGGAAAATTGGTCCTAGTGTGAGTGTGTGCATGTATTTGTGTCTGTGTGTGCCCTGCACTGGGCTGGCATCCCATCCAGGGTTTTCCCTGCCTTGCGTACGCCTGCATGTCAAGATAGTCTCCGGCTCCTTCTTGACCTTGCACTGGGTAAAGAGTTTAGAAAATGCATAGATGGGTGGAACCTCACTCAGTGCTGTGAAGAATTAAATCACAATTAAGATCCATTGGTAGCTTAATCACTAAATGGCTACACTAAGGTGGCTGAAAGATTCCTGTGTCTACCTATCAGAATGCCGACATCAAGTATTGGCGATGGAATTTCTCAAAAGAGCCAGAACCAAAGACACAAACTATGCCGTATGGCAGTGTCAAGTCTCATATGATACAGAAGAGAGCAGAGAAACAGGGGCCTGACAGATCAGCGTACCTCTTTCAGGTATTCATCGCGATCACTCCTCCGAAAACCTAGACAACAAGGGACACAGGAACAGAAGAAAGGTTACACACAAGAGAAGGACATTTGGTCCACCTAGCCTGCTGGGTAATTAGTAGCTCATTGATTTGAGGATCCAATCCAGTTGTTTCTTAAAAGAACGGTAATCAGCTTCAACAGCATGGCTCAGAAGAGTGTTCCATATTCCCACAACCCTTTGTGTAAAGTGGTCCCTGTTTTTATTTTTAAATGCTCTTCCACATGGTTTCCACTTGTGCCCTCAACTGGAGAGTTTATTTTTCTCAGTCACACTACCCACTAAGAACACACAGAGAGCTCATGAAGACTTGAAACAGCTTCAAAACTTCAAAAATCAGTAGCGCAGGAAACTCTTAAAGAAAAGAAGCATTTTACGGAGCCTAAACGTAGTTATAATTCACAGGAAGATAAAAAAGTAACTCTCAGTTGCTTGGTTCTTTCAAATTAGGTTCAGTGAGCCCAGGGTTTAGGATAGATGCAATGATCATAGAAAGACTGTTTTGACACAGATAATTAACAACAGGACAGAATTCTAAAAGACATGTTGGTACACACAAATGCTAGGATTACAGAAAACCAAAGACTGATGCTGGTGGGTCACAGTCGTTAGTGCTTATTTTAATTCACCCATCCATCCATTTCTAACTGCTTGCTCCTAGCAGGGGTCAAGGTGGTAACAGGCTGAGCAGAGCTGAGCAGGGCACACCAGACATCCCTTTCCTCATCAGCAGTCTCCAGCTCCTCCTGGGGGATTCCCAGGCGATCCCAGGCCAGCCGAGAGATCGGATCCCTCCAGCGGATCCCGTGTCTGTCCGTCGTGTGGGCGTCTCTTCCCAGTGGGCTGTGCCTGGTACCGCTCCAGCAGGAGACGTCGAGGGTACAACCTCACCAGCTGCCCGAAATACCTGAGCAGTCTCCTCTCCATCCAGAAGGGTGGCGACTCGACTCAAAGATCACCCCAGACGGCCCGTCATGGAGAGTAAGCCCAGCAGCGCTATGGAGAGACCTCGTTTCCACTGCTTGTACTCATGATCTCATTCTGTCAGGCACTACCCAAAGCTCATGACCACAGGCGAGAACAGGCCCCTAGATCGACCGGAAAACAGAGAGCTCGTCTGAAAACTCAGCTCCCACTTCACCACCACGGTCAAGTACAGCATCCCAATGTGTTTTAATTGTTTTATTTTCTTAGATTTCAATCTCCCCATTTCTCATTGGGAAGGTTCACAAAATCGATGTTCTACCCAGGGATGAAAGAGCACACTTCCGCTGTCCAACATTTCATTTTTGAAAACACACTCATCGTGGTTTTTTTTTTTTAATATACGTCTGACATTTCTGAAATGACCCACATCTTCTGGTTTACAAAACAACTGCAAACTCCCCTGAGCCTTTTCATGTAGTGGGGATAATAATTTCCTTCCAAAAAAAAAAAACCAATACTGTCATGCAATGAAAAGCCCTCACCTTGAATGTATTTTCCCCGGCCAATGAATTTTAAAAGCCACTACATTTTCTTACTCAAATAGAACTGATCAAAAAGCCACTCGATATTGAGTTAAGCTAGACACATCCCGGAAATGAACGCTCTCACAAGCTACAGGAGGGAACATGAAAAATGTATGAACTACACCGACTGCTTTTAATCCAAACCTCTTGTGTTGCTGCAGCCTGGCCCTCTTGCTGTCGATAAACAAAGTTCTTTGCCGTGGGACTTGGAGAAGGATGTTTGAATGGTTTTAGCAGAGAGCATTTTCAGACAGCTGTGCAACAGAAAAAATTAAATGGCACAAGCAGTTCTGAAGGCCTGCTTCAGTAGACGCCAGTCTGACTGCATTAGCAGCAAAGACTGTCATTTAAAACATTTGCAGGACGTAAATATACGCCCTGAAAATTTTTACTGTATATTAAAACAAAATTATATGACATTTCAGAGAAGAATCCCAGTTTTCCATCATTTTTCTAACTGCATTATCCCATTCAGGGTTGTGGGGAAGCCGGAGCCTATCCCAGCAAGCAATGGGCATAAGGCAGGGTACACCCTGGATGAGACGCCAATCCATTGCAGGGCACACACTGACACAAACACGCACACTCACACCTAGTTTTCCAAGAAGCCAATTAACCTCCAGTTCCAGTACAGCATGTGATATGTACTGTGGAGGAAACTGGATCACCTGGAGGAAAACTAGATGAACCCAGAGAGAACATACAAAGGAATTAAACCCAGGTCCCCAGCACTGCGAGATGCCCAATGATAACCAGTGCGCCATCGTACTGCCACCCCATTTTTCCTTTGTTTTTTTGCTGAAAAACTGATGCTGACTTGGTGGATTTATCACCTGCACCCTCTCACGAACACACCCTGTCAGGTGTCCCTCAGAGTGCTGACCACAGCACCTCCCTTACTGAACAACTGCCTCTCACTGCTCAGGCACTGAACTAAGATACCAGTTTAGCCATTTTGGAGGTTGGGTTTTAAACCCAGCAATCTTAGTAAGAGTTCTTGTTTGCTCTCCGTCAACAAACCCACTACCCAACTCTCCCTCAACAGCTCCATTCTCTGCTAATGAATGGACACCTCCACACAAGGTTGAACTCTTTCCCTCTGAAGGAAAACACAGTAGTGATTTCTGACCTCTGTGTGCTGGGTGAGCACACTGCTGCCTTCTGTATGGCCAAGAGCAGCTCCACAGCATTAAATAAATCCTACTCTTAATTTCGCAAGCCAGTGGCTGCTTTCAGAAAACGAAAGTTAATTATATCCAGACCTGGACTGAATAACTGAATTTCTGTTTTGTATCTGTACTAACGTCGGCTACAAAGCTCGACACTTCTTAAAACTTTCTCTTCAGCTGCTCCTGCGTTGTGAAGTGTTACTCTTCGCCTCAATCTCAGTAACAATTCAGTTCTTAAGTTTAAAGGTGCCAAAACGTATACAGTTGTCACTTTCAACTGCATTGTGTTCATTTATTGGAGCAAAACGACAAACATTTCAACAAACATACAAACACATTTCCGAACAGGAAATGCACAGAGTAATGATTTACTTAACAAGTTTACCGAAGGAAATCGCTAAGACGAAGGGGTCAGCTGAACTCAGTGAAACAGCAGTTTTGTGGAGGACGTATACCCTTAGTATTATTTACGGATATCGCTTGTTAATATCGACATAACTGAATGTCCTGCTTTATTTATTCATTTTAATCTCATATTCTGCTTCGAGTCTGCGACGATGCCGTTCAAAAACCTTATAAATATTTTTATATTATTATCTCGTTCTTATGTGTATTTAAACGCTTTTTGTAGCGTCTGAATGAACCGTGGTGTAAAAAACGTTCTGCATTAGTGTTTTAAAAATCTTTTAAGTGCTGCCCCTGCGACTGAACTCTGAAAGACTCGGCCTCTCCTCGTGTAATTTCTTAAAATACAGATCGAAAACCCACCTGCTGTCTTCTGAAAGTAATCTTTTTGAAATACGTGATTAAAACATAGACCTACCGTGTGCTCCGTATGCACCTGCACTGACTGCAAGAGCCCCCGAAACACCCGCCAGTCTCTGGAAAAACAAAGTTGCCTTCATTCTGACACCAAATTCGTGACTGCCGAAGTGACGTCAGGCCGATGCCATTTTGGCTCCGAAGCCGCTTGCGGGTTGAGTGCAAAACTAGTGGAAACGGAGCCAACATGGCGAATCATTATAACGCAGTTTTACAGCCGACTACAGGGATGAAGATTATGATTAAAATCCGAGTTTCACACCGAATTGGCAAATTTTTATTTTTTCCAGTGTGGTTTTAGCTAGGCAAGGTGTTTGACGATTACAATGATTGTTTTTTAGAACACAGCAATATAGCTCTTTGGGGTATCAAGCAATATTCTATTCTATCTAAGCGACTTTCAAACCGTGTTCTGCTTTTTAAAGAAATTAAGCATAACCTTTTTTTCCGTATGTGGATCTATCATGTAACAGATATAAACTGTATATATAAGCCCTCCTTTTCTTGTACACAGATGTTGGTCCTTCCCGAGGTTATAGGTTTCTTGTGGATTTTCATATTTCAGTCTTTAAATGTTTGTTGGTGTATAGCCAGTAACGTTTCTCTGTCAGATATCTGTCAATTGCAGTCGGGGTGAAATGCGTTCTCTCAAGCCTTTTGAGCATTTATGAACTCTTATCTCCTTTCACCCTTAATTTTATTATCAATTTCTTCATACGTTATCATTTCTTATAGTTGTTTTTTATTATTTTTCTTTACAACCATATGACTATTGTACTGGTACTGTACTGTACATTGGTCTTCCTCGTATGGAACAATTATCCTGCCTGTTGATTGCCATTGAATTCTCTGCATATGATAAAATAAATAATGCTCTTTTCAAAAAAAAATCCACTCTTTCTGTCTTCATGTTCAAAAATAATTTCCAGGACTACGGTATGTAATCAAAATATTTCTCTTTGTCCACATGCAGTGCGCATCTGAGCTTTAAGACCCTGTTTCAATCAACCACTGACAAGCACCTCACTCCAAAGTGAGTTGATATGACTTCTTTGTTTATAAAAATGCAACTGGAAAGTCTCATCCTCCTTTCAGGAGAAGTGTTCATTATAGCTAGGGGGAAAAGCCTTAACACTATTTCCACACTGAATAGGTGGACTTACCCATTACCCAGCTCCTCCACCAGTGTCCGGGCAGCTTGTCACTGATTCTTTGCACCTTTGCTTCACACCAGGTGCTCCACCTGGTGGCCACCTCAGCCAGGTGCTTGAGGGAGCTCCCTGCTGTTTTTTCCCCTAGGACTGTCTTTGGCCACTCTCAGCCCCAACCTCAGCTTTCTCCCCAAAGTCATGTCAGCATGTCGTCTTTCTTGCACCACAGTCCAGGAAACGGTGACATCTGTGCTTGTAGTTTTCTGTATCACGGGCTGTAATACCGCTACTCGACATCAAAACACTACAACCGATGTCCAACTAGCCAAACAGGTTGTTGTCGTGACAACGAGATATGGGCTGGAACCAGTCTGACCAGAACTAATTTGATACCTGGCAATTTAAGACCTGCCATAGTAGGAAGCTCAGTCTTAGTGTGTCATCACCTCGTCTAGGCGTTTTCCTTCTGTGGTTCTTGGTTTGGGATTGTTGCTTATTGTTCCCTTTGCTTTTTGTATTTTTCCTTTGACTTCTTGCACGAGTGTTTCTAGTTTTTTGCTCTTTCACATGTGCCCCAGTTTTTGTTCTCAGCCCTCCTTTGCTGCCATTGCTTATGTTTTCATGGACTTGAACCCTGCCTATATCCTGACGGCCTTCTCGGATTGTGTTTGTTCTGCTTGTCTGCATTGCAATTTGCTACTCACCTGCCACTGGATCTGTCTTCAGCTCCACAATGCTGCGCTTAACATAAGTGCAGTGCACTACATCCTGAATGGGAGACCTGTGGATTTATTCAGCCAGTTCTTTGGGGGTGACTTTAACAGAACCATATTCAGTTGCCTTTGTATAGCATTGACATGCTCTTTGCTCTATCTCCTTTGCATACTTCTATTCCCTTCAAGTGGATGCAGTAGGACACCCTGTCAGGTCTGCAGTTTTGTAACCTGCCAAGAACAATGCTCTAACCCTTGAGCTATGGAAAGTCCGTTATTAACAGACTGCATTTTCAGAGCCCTATAATAGACATGCAGTTGGTTTCATGAGTCAGATATTGTGGCCTGATGGCCCTAATACACTCAGAAACATAAACAGGTCCAAAAATTGCAGGAGAGATTACAGAAACTAGGATAAACGTCTAGTTAATCTGTAGGTTTTAGATGGACACTATATAACTCTAATCGGGAAATGGAGGTGTTTACAATAGTTAACTTTTGTCCTTCCCAAATCTTTATCTCTAAACTCCAGATGAGAGGTTTGGTACGAGTAAGAAATCTGCACTGCCAGATATCTCACCCTCTCAAAGTGAAACAATTCTTTTTTTTGTTCTTGGCACAATTTGTTCAAGGCAGAAAACTGAATACATTACAGATTGTCTGCACTATCTGTGCTTATTACCTGGTCTGGATTAATAAGATTACTGCAGGGCTTTTTTCCTCTCTAATCTCTTGAGAAACCCAAACTCAGTCATACAGATGTCCCATTTCCTTTCACTTTCCTTTCACTTTTAATTGACGTCATCTTGGAAGCTTGTATAATATGTATATATTCTATATTTATATAGTATTCTTCATATCGGGGGATATCAGTGTTCTGTACAGACAGAGAAATAAATATATGCAGATACAAATCTACCTTTACACCAATGTCAAATAAAAGAAAGGTTTTCAGTTTAATTCCAAACTAATTTAGTCATTCAGCATTTCTGACTGGGGGGGTGGGTTTGGTAGCAAGTGAAACCCTTGAGCCTGGCTGGCCAAAGATGGCTCCTGACTTCAACCAGTAAATCTACAGTACATCCTCAGAACAGGTACAGTGCCATACATGTAAAGTGAAAGAGCAGATTCAAGAGGTAAGGATGACACTCATATTCCTAATATGTGAAGATGGTGGAAAAGATTGGCTGTCAACAGTTGCTAAAATGATGGATATCATCATTATTTGTTTCTTAGGGTTTAATTTCTACTGTTTGTTATCCAGGAGGTTAGTTAGGGAACATGCTACAATGATGTGAGTTGTGGGCCAACTCTGTACCTGGTGGACACCAGCAGGGGAGGGAACCCGTCTCTACCACAGTCAAGGCTGTGACTTGGCACAGGTGCCAGGGAAGGTAAACAAGGAGAGTGAACATCTCTGTAACTGGTAGGACTTCTACAGGGAGAGCAAGAAAGGAAGAAACTGGGTTTGGGTTTGAACATGATTGGATGCCTGAAGCTGAATCAAGGCATAACAGGGGGTGGATGGAGGAAGAGAGTGGATTAAGCCAGGATTGAGGCAAGGGTGGACACAAGGAGAAAAGAGAGGGACAATATGCAGCCCCAGGGGTGAGGTTATGCCAGAGCGCTTGGAAAGGGAAATGACATCAAAAGGATCTTGTAGAGAAGAGCAACATCATGATAACAGCTTGAGCTGGTTGCTTCCATGCAGTGTGGCAAGGCAGAGGTTGAAGAGATGAAGCAAGAAGGCTTCAGAATGCACAGGAACAACACAGGACAAAAGGTGGAGATACTGTAGAAAAGTGGGAGGTAAGGTCTGTGTCAGGCAAGAGCAAATACCAAGTAGGAGAAAAGATGGGAAGGGGATGCTCAGGAAGTGATGTATAAGCAGGAGGGTAGGATGGATAAGGCGAGAATGTGACTTCTTCCATATCTTCCAAATGGAAGAGATATCTTCCATATCTCTTCCATTTGGGAATAAAGCAAAAGTCTTCATATTATTAGGATAAAGTGTAAATCCATATTAAAGTGTATACATTAGACATTCATTTCATTTCACTTCAGTGAATGAGATTTTTGAGGTATACACCAAGTGTCTGAGAATGCATTTTTTAATTAAGACACAATGAAGATTTTAATGAAAAATGGGCTTTCTGTCGTCAACAGGACATATCTCCCAGTTACTGGCAAATAGAAATACTGTACAAAGTGTAAAAGCAGAAGATTGATTTACAAGGCAAAATTTAGAGACCAAACAGACAGGAACTACGATACAGAAGGGAGAATATGCTGTATAACACAGAAGCACAAACCTAAAAAACGGCTAAAAATTATTAATTTGATGGAGAAGGCCAGACAAGGAGACAAACAGGAAAGCAGAGACACGCAAAAATAGATTTTGTTTCAAGGCCTCTGCCACTGACCAGACTGACCCAGCTGTTTTGGAGCAAATGAAAATCCTGCCAGAATGAACAGCCTAGTCTTGCATGTTAAAAATATCTAGCAGTCAATCCATTATTCATGAACGGGCAAAATAATAGCAGAAGAGCAAATGAATTATTAATATTCCAACATCTTATTTCGTGAAATCAAGAAAAGAAAAAAAAAACACCTCAGAAAAAAAAAACACTGAGTTGTTTGTGGCTTTTCCTTGGGCGATCTCTTAAAGTTTCCTTTCCGCCAATATTTTCCAGTTGTCAGGAAGTTGAATGAAGCACTGTGTCGACACAGTGTACTGTATGAGGCAAACAAATGCATTGCTCTGACTGTGGCGGCGGTAGGACCGCTGTTTTCTTGTCACAATACAGTAAGCACACCTGCAAACTCAATCTGTCATGAGCCACTTGAATCCGGAGTGATGTTTTATTCACTATCATTTTTTTTTTCAGAAGAAACCTATTGGGGAGAAGTAGGAAAAGGAGAGTTCAGTGAGCAATGTGTTGATAAGGCCAGCCATTGCTTTAGTGAAGAACACAGATATGTAAGCTTTGTGTCCCCCACCCCCCTTGAAACATCACTTTCTCTATTTTAGATGCAAATTAATGATTAGGTAACTCCCCCGCCTCCTAATTCTTTTAAATTCAAGAACAATTTTGTGGTCATCTGTTGTTCACTGCTATTCCAGCAAACGAAATAAATGGTTACTGTGAGCCAACCCACAAATATGGCAATTCAGTTTATATTAGTCAGTTAACTATACTTAAGAACTTCAGGCTATTTAGATATAAATAACAAAAGCCAAACAGAATCTGTATCTAGAATC